CCGATAGCCGAACAGATGGACGTCATCATGATAGGAACCGTGATGATCGCCCTAGGCATAGCGACCAGTACCGGCCGTCTGATGGCCATCGCAAGGAGCACCGCAACGACCGAGGAAGTATTGACCGTCGGCAGCAACATGCCGACCGGAACGGGACGCCAGAGAACCGGCGAAAGATTAGCGGCGACGTGGATAGACAGCGTCCCCGTCTATCCGAGGACCGACCACGTTCGCACAGCCAGAGCCAAGTACCTGACCGCAGCGTTGAGACCCCCAAGGTCAAGGAGAAGAAGCCAGAGGAGTTCGTTGAGCGGCGACTTCGGCCTGTGCGCGACAATCTCAGCCGGCTCAAGAAGGCAACCCCGAAGAACTATCCACAGAAGGATGCTATGGTCAAGGTGCTGAAGATTGAGCTGATTGCGATTGGCAACTTTATTCGGGCAGAAACTCGGGACAATGCCGAACTCGAGGAGCGACTATGGTAGGTGCAGCAATATTGTGTTGTAGTGCACATGCTAACAAGCAGCAGGAGTTACACAATCAACAACCACTGGCCTCGGCCCGGAGTGACTGTTCCGGCGATTAAGGGCATGTACCTCAAGATGCTGAATTCGGAGAAGCCAGCGGCAAGTTCAACGGCGACCAACGGACAAAAGAATGGGGCTTGAGATTGGTCGCACAGAGGCGGCACATGATTGTTGTGAATAGCACGGCCGGGATTGATCATCATTATCAACATCATCATATGGGAGTTTTGGATTTTCTTTTTCACGGTGACGGGGCGTCACGTATATTTTCAGCATAGCGTAGGTGTTTGGCTCTGTTGAAGTACTCAAGACATGACTAGGTACGGGCAGGGCAATGTTGGAGACTTTTCTGCTTGCTCTTCAACTTCTACTTTTTCTTCTACTTGTTCCTGTATTGCATGGCCATTGCCCGCAAGGGTGTGACCAAGGGTGTTTGTTTCTTGCGGGGCGGCGCATACCAAAAAGAAAATCGCTCAAGGACTGGTGATGGGGGCATTTGCGGCATTTGTGGCACATGGGGTCTTGTCATTTATTCCGTAGCAGAGAACATGGTGTCTACGAAGGCCGACGTCAGCCTGAGCGGTGTGGTGTAGTAGTAGTCGTAGTAGACTAGGCATCTGTGTGGGGGCAAGAAGGGCAATGAAGCTGCTAGGCCGTTATTCCCGTCGACATGTCATTGCTGTGTAAGGCATGGTGTGATGTGGTGAGTGATTTTTTTTCTCTCTTTCTGTTGTCTGGGGTAGTCACACGAGCAAGACATGTGCGGCGTCGGTCATGTCTGTTGATGTCTGCATCTGGGGGAGGGGTGTGGGTGACGGGCGTGGGTGTGACTAGCGTTGGGGCGATGACGCTCCAATGGCAAGGGTTTGCGAAGGATCGTGCCCGCAGGCGTGGCTTCGCGTTGGGCCTTGGTTTCTCCAGCAGGCGCCATCAGGGTGTCTTCGGTGTTTCTGGAAAGACTCGGGGTCATACAGTCGCGCGACACTCTTAAAGACGCTTGCAGAGAGTCGCTCGCGCTGTTTCTTGCTCTCCTCTCGCTCTCTGGTCATCGTAGTCATGCTGTGTACAAAGCACGCCCTGATCAGCGGCCTGCTCTTCTGGGTACACCATGCGACCGCGGCCCCGCCTATTAACGCGGTTGGCGACGCAGATAGCAGCCGCAATCCAGGCCCAGTAGATGCAAGCAGCCGCGCGAATGGCGCCCGCAGGCTCACGGGGAGGTTCCTCCATATCACGGGTACGTCGGCCAGGTCCCCTCGCAGTTTGCCAGTAGCTCACGTCATTATGCAGACTTCCACCCAGACCCTTTCTACAAGACATATTCCAGCACAGAAGCCGGCGCAGCATGCCACCGAAAACGAGGACCCGCGGGCATCTACGGCGCAGAGACGACGGGCTGCGACTCTCCTTTTGCCCTGGTCAACCAGACGTTTCAATGGATACAAGACAACATCAAGGATGAAATCGACTTCATCATATGGACAGGCGACTCGGCGCGCCACGACAATGACGAGGAGATACCGCGAACACACGATCAGATTGTCGACCAGAACAAGTTCATGGTCTCGAAATTTGTAGAGGTCTTTGGAAATTCCAAGCCTGGCCATGGCACCAACGATTTTGTCATTCCCATTGTGCCAACTTTTGGCAACAACGACATTATGCCTCACAACATCTTCACTAGCGGCCCAAATTCCTGGACGATGAATTACTTGGATATCTGGCGTGGATTCATACCCGAGGCACAAAGACATCAGTTCCAACAGGGTGGATGGTTCTCCGTCGAGGTGATCCCTGGCAAGCTGGCTGCTATCAGCCTGAACACCATGTATGTGACAGCAGAAAATGCACTTTTGGATCATTTTCTAACAATTCCAGATACTTCTTCACATCAAACTCAGCTGTCGACGGCTGCGCGAAGAAACACGAACCCGGCTACGAACACATGGAATGGCTGCGCATTCAGCTTCAGATCCTACGAGAGCGCGGCATGAAAGCCATGCTTCTAGGCCACGTGCCCCCCGCTCGCGTCGATAGCAAAGAGAGCTGGGACGAGACATGTTGGCAAAAATATGCGCTTTTTGTGCGCCAGTTCAGGGATGTCTTGGTCGGCAGTCTCTACGGACACATGAACATTGACCACTTCATAGTCCAAGATTTTGATCACATTGAAAAGGATACCGAGAACGGCAGGATGAATGCTGCATGGAACACGGCTTCTCTGGACAATGAGACGACGTTATATGTCGATGGCGAGGTCACGCTAGCGTCGGCATCTGATTATCTGCTAGACCTACGCAACGTTTGGGCCCGCTTGCCTGCTCCCCCAGCGAAGTCGAACAAGTCTAAGAAACAGGATGTTGAAGAGGATGATGAGGAAGAGTCGACATGGGCATGGCTGATGTCAAAGGTCTTGAAGTTGTCAAAAGATAAGAAAGAACAGAAGAAGAAATATCTCGAGGAAATCGGGGGTAAATACGCCGAACGCTACGCGGTATCGCACGTTTCTCCCAGCGTAGTACCCAACTACTTCCCGACACTGCGCATCATTGAGTACAATATCTCCGGATTAGAACACTTGAGCGTGTCTTCCAGTCCTAGCAGCCCGTCCGGAATCGAGAGCCCTGCCGATCAGCAGCCAATTTCAATCGGGGATGATTTTGACGATGAAGAGCATTTGGACAAGGTAGAAACTGCGAAGAAGAAGCACAAGGGCAAGAAGGACAAAAAGGGGCCGCGAAAGTACAAGTTCAAGGTTCCAGAAGGGCCATCAAAGTCAGCCCCTCCTGGCCCGGCCTATTCACCTCAACCGCTTACATGGACACGTATTGTTCAATACTACGCAAACCTGACGCACATCAATAACGATTTTGTTGAGCCTCCCTCCGGCCCATCCGATCGTCTAAGCACTTCTACAAATGACCTCTCTGTCACCACCATTTTTGGACTTAGTATCGACTCGGATGGCAAGATCGAGAACAACAAGTGGAAGGAAGGAAAGCACAAGAAGCACCAAGGCAAACAGCCGCGGCCCGAGCCACATCCAAAGGAGTTTGTTTTTGAAGTAGAATACGATACACGGAAAGACAAGGGATTCCCCGATCTCACCGTACGCCGATGGGTCGAATACGCACGTAAAATTGCATCAAATGAGCAAAAGACGACTCAAATAGAAGAAGTAGAGGATATTGAAGAGGACGCCAGTGAAGAGACGACGACTGGAGAATACGACGCAGCAAAAGGAAAGGGAAAGAAGGGCAAGAAGGGCAAACACCACAAGAAGCACAAGCCATCCAAGCACTGGTTCAAGTTTGTCAAGCGCGCCTTTGTCAGCACCATGGACGCAGATGAGATTAAAGAAGTGTTTGGTTCATCGTCGACGACGACAAGTGAGCCACTGCAAGAGTCGTCGCCACAAGAGGTTATCGAGCTATAGAAAGAGAGAGTGTTTTTTCAAGACTTTGTAGAGTTTAAAGAGGGAAAAAGAGATGGGGAGTTGAACATGCAACCATACAAGGCATTGTAGTAGTAGTAGATATATATATACCCTGGGGCGTTGCAAGGCGCGCGGAGGGGAGGGACCCTGAGATTTTGACAGCTCTTTTTTTTGGTTTGTGTTTGGCACTCGCTTTTTTGTATATGTATTTGTTGTTGTTGTTGTTGTTGTTGTTGTTGTTGTTGTTGTTGTTGTTGTTGTTTGTTTTGACTGCGAGCATAGATAGCGTAGCATTGGTTTGTGTGAATATGATGTTTTATCTTTGTGTCTAAGGAAGGGAAGTAGTCTGGTTGCTTCTTTGCAGGGACTTTTGATTGGTGTTAGAATGTTTAACGATACAATAGACATCGAACTGATATTCAAGGGCCCTGGACAAAATGGATTGGCTGTGGGTCGTGTAGAGATGGGACTCGTCTTTCGATTGTAATCTGTAGCATATATCGTGTGGACCGACTATTTGCTTTTTTGTACGATGACGAAATAAGGGTGCACCGGAGAAAATGAAACATGTATTCACCAATTCCGTCAATTTGATCGAAACAGTGATCAGTCAAGCTCTGACTAAACTGCGAGATTTCCCCCCCCCCTCTTGGAAGTATCGGACTACTGAGTGGTAAGCACATGTGCTGTCCGGACCATTGTGCACCGAGAGGTCAGCCCCCCTATAGTACTACACCTCCATGTAGCGATTCTGACATCTTGAGCACACCAAGAGATATACCCCATTACACCCCTCCCATTCCCCTCTCTACACTTTCCTTACACTCTCTTACAACGAGGATGAAAAAGAGACAAGAAAAAACCTCCAACCCAGTAATCACAAACACAAAAAAAGTCATACGACCACCGGACCCCACGCACCCACCGTAGTCCGCGCGAGCCGAGGACAAAAGGTCTTTTTTCCCAAATCCGTGCCAAGACCTACCCAAAGCAGTAATTCGTTGCAAAAACCGTAGATTACAGCGGAGTGTTACTCTTTGCTCCGGGTTGTTACTCCCGCAGGAAAATGGGAGAAGCTTCTCTCTTCCGTCCGTTCCCCCCCCCCCTCCCGCCCTCCTTTTGTGATTGTCCGCCACCGACCGCCCACCCGTAGACCAAGAGAACCCGCGGAACGGCCGGTCTTCGGTCTCTTTTTTTTCCTTTCCTAATTTTTTCCCCTGCTTTTGTTTTTTGCGGAATCGTCAGCTTGGATGTTTATTATGTTCACATAACACACACACACACACACACATCTGTGTGTGCGTACACACGCAAAGTGACAGAAGCGGCATATTCCTATATCTCTCTCTCTCCCCCTCTCTTTCTCCTTTCACTACTTACCAACCCGTGATCTACAGTTAGTTTAATTATAAGCAAAAAAAAAATCAAGCCACCGATTTCCCCCCAAGTACAAGGGTTAACCCTTCTGCTAGACTTGCCTGGGGTGTGACAGTAATCTACGGTTGATCATCTACATGATCACTTGCGCACACGCATACCCCCAAAAGTTACCTATTCGGGGAAAGAAAAAGAGAGAGCAAAGAGAGAGAGTTTCATGCCGTCGATCAATCATGGGTGTGGATTTGACCCCAGGGGGCAACCATGAACGAGTGTTCAGGCCCTACCCAGATGCTATGATCAATGGTAATAACGCCGTAATTGCCTGTTCTGGTATATTTGTTCGCGTCCGGCCGCCCGCTGCATGAAGCTGACTTGCTACCTTGGTAGTATAGTTTGCTAGTTGGGTGGGACTTTTTGCGTGTTGGTTGTGTTGGGGGGTCCAATCCGCTTTTGGCCGAGGTAAGTAGGGATCTTAGGACCAGAGGGTTGTCTAGCGTGTGTGCTGTGAGGCGGGGGGTTTTTTTTGGTTCGAGTCAGCTTGTGATTGTCTTGTGCTTGATTGAGACATGGGGGGAATGGGCTAGGTAAGGAGTTTGGGGTTTCGTTTATCTGCGATCTATTTTCTGCGTGTGTCACATGCGGGAGAGGGGCTACGTCATTGGGGTGGCTGATGGGTTCCCCAGATGCTCTCGGTGTACAAAGGGTGGTCGTTCAGCATGACATCTCAATACTTCCGCCGCCTCCGCTGATACTTGAGACTGTTTTTGTGAGAGTAGCTTGCCAAAAGTAACACACAGAACAAGGATGGGTGGATGAGATGTGGTCGCGAGGTCACCCTCCAGAAGCGCACCGATCGCGACACCAAGCCTTGTACTGCCCGAGGACAGCCTAACAATACGTACGAGACTTCTTCTCTCGTAAGTGAATCATAATGAAGAGTCGAAAAACTGCACGAGCAGTCGCGAGGCTGGTTAGCTTGCGACAAAGTGAGACTCTTGTCCAGGTGCCTATCTGCCTGCCCACGAAGCCGCGTGACGGGCCTGTTGAGCAATACACACGACCCACGATCACCGAACGTGACAGCACAAAATCATATCACCAGCCTTACAACCTGTGGATATGATCGTCATCTAAGCAAGAGAGCTAATTACCATCACTACCATTACCATGAGACAGCCTCCGCATATGCCCACTTCCAAACCCAAAGCCATGGCTTCTCCTTTCAGGCCCGCATCACCTGCAGAGGACCTTCCAGCCTACTACCAGGATCTAGAAGACGAAAACATCCGATACTGCTTCCGAGATTTCGACTCAGAACGCAACTTTGATCTCTTTGACAGGCAGACCAGAGATCCCCGGAGTAACAACTTCTGTATTGACTTTGGCGAAGACAAAGCCTACTGTGCTTTCGACCTTGATGCACAGTCATATGAGAAGCTGCTCAACGCACCAAGGCCGACAGAGTTGCATACACGATGGATCCACATATGGATGCCTTACAACCAGAAGGATCTGATCCGGACGCTGGCTACACACTTTGACTTTACACCACGTCTTATGGGCCTGATGAAGAGTGACCCCATAAACCCACGCACTGGGACTTCGCTGCGAGCAAAGAAGAGCTCTTCAACTCTGAGGTCACTGATATCGCACAAATCGGGCAGCGGTGAAAAGGACAATTCAGTCAGGGAGAGAGCGAGACAAGCAAACGAAGAGATACTGGATGAAGAGTCGAGCATTGGTATGACGAGCATGATGCAGTCTACACAGATGGAGATGGTGCGGGACATGGGTCACTACCAGCTGGTGAATGATGTATGGCATTGGAGTACTGTGGACAAGGGCCGAAGATGTGAGTTTGTGCAACTTCCTTTTGTAACTGATCAGAATGTAAGAAAAGGATTTTGCTAACTGAGGCATAGATATGTGCATCGGCTACAACGCACTATACAATGTACGCAGCAAACCAGTAAACACTCAACACCACGATGACTGGGAAGACCAAAGCAGAGAAGTCCCCCAAGGCAGTCGCGTCTGGAACTGGCTCGCCCTCTGCGAAGGCAAAACCGTAATCTCCATCTCCGAAGACCCCTTCCCCTTCTCCAACGGCACCCTCACAGCCCAAGACCTGCGCACCCTCTTCACCACCCGCCGCAACCTCGTCAACGTCTTCCGCCAACTCAGCAAAGCACCCACCCCCCTCCGCGACGCCGCCCTGGTCCAACTGCCCCTCCGCCAGCGCCTAGGTAGAAGCCAAGAAGAAACCGCCCACCGCCCCACCGACGCCCCGGGCCTCCTCTTCTACTACCTCTTCGAAGACTGGGGCGCAACCTTTGACATCATCTCCCGCCGCGAACAAGGCTACGGCGCAGAACTCGACCGGCTCCGTCGTGAAATGCTCGTAAAAGCCAATCTGACTCATGTCGACCAACTCCACCACATCGGCTGCCAACTCAGCGTGCTAAAGCGTGTATATCAAAGCTACGAACTCATCATCGAGCGCGTCCTCCGCAAACAAGAAGTCACTCTCGCTTCCCTCAAGAACTCGCATATCCTCTCCGGCGACGCATCGCTATCTTCCACCTACGCATTCGGCGAGGCCCCAGCTGCGGCTGTGACGTCGCTCCCGCCTGGCGCCCTCATCCCCGAAGCAGATAGCCTGCTAGGTGTAGCCCTGAGCTCCGCAGCCCGCGTCCGCTTCGAGCGCCTCAAAGACCGCATTGTGCTGTATGCGCTCAGCGAGATACAGGAGTGCCTCGATCAGAAGGAGTCGCTTGTCATGATGAATTTCAATCTTATTGCCATCAAGGAGTCGTATAGTGTGGAGCGGCTCACGTGGGTTACGCTGCTGCTTGCGAAGATTACCATCTTGTTTACGCCGGTCACGCTGATGACGGGGTATTTTAGCATTCAGTTCAAGGACTTGGTGTTTGAGATGGGGAGCTATTGGCATAGCTTTGGCTATGTGTTTGGGGCCAGTGCGGCGTTGTTGGTGCTGTTTAGTTGGGTTAGTGGCACGTTTGAGGGCAAGATTGTTACGAGGAGTTGGACGAGGAAGGTGTATGATGGGGGGAGGAGGTGGTTGTCGGTGAGGAAGAGGAAGAGAGAAGATAAGGTGTGAGGGTGTGGTTATGATTGTGATTTCTATGTGTGGTCTCGGAGTTGGTGGATGACTTGCAATGTTATTTGTACTATAGGCATGAGAAGTAACAAGAATAATGGAATGTGGTATATTTTAAAAGAAATCGTTTAGGTGAAATTGGTGCAGTTAGATCGCAGAGAAGAGTAAGAATGCCTAGGCTGAATAAACATCTACTAACATGCATATACAAACACCAAGTCTAGCATCCTCATTCGTCGTCGTCATCGTCGTCATCACCAAAAATAGCCTTAAACACATCTTCAGACGCCCTATTATTCAAAAGTGCATCGTTCTTCTCCACATCCACAGTCGCGTGCCCCGTCTGTGTAGTGGTCGCCGCAGAGACATCAGCAGCTGCAGCAGGTGAAGCAGAAGCTGCGGCCGGCTGATTCATCCAAGCTGGGCGCTGAAGAGCAGAACCATTCGTCAAAAACTCATGCTGCAACCTATCCATTGTGGCTTTGGAAACGGCCTCCCCAGTATGTGGCTTGAAGCTGCTTTCGCCCTCGTCAAACTCCGGTGGCATATCTGGCGGAGGCTTGACGTTGAAGCGCTTGCACAAAAGCCGAGAAGGGTGAAAAGGAAATGCAGTTCGCGTCATCGGACCGTACATGCCCAGTTTTGCAGCTGATTCAGCAGGATCCTCTGGCTTTGCTGCAGGCTGCCTTAGAAGATTGTCACCAGCTGCACCGCCGCCATCACTTCCGCCTATTGTAGAGGATGACGACGAGGTAAACCGTGATGCCATGATGCCAGTAGTTGGTTTAAAAACCTGTGCTGCATGAGCAAACTCTTGCAACTCCTTGACCCAATCTGAGACTGAAACTCCATCGGGGCGGTCTGGTAAATCGTTTTTCAGTCCAGCTCGCAGCTCCAGGAAGCCGACATATCGTGCGCGCTTGTCCAAGTCTTCTGCATAAGGCATCCAGCCAGTCGCACCCTTTGCAAGAGCACCAGCAGCGAGACTCTTCTCAAGAGGAGGTACAAGGTTCCACAAGTTCTTTGTCTCCGCTTTGTTTGCAGGCAAGTGCCCCTCTGGAGCAGACTCTCCAAGACCCTGGGGAAGATCGGCTTTGCCAGACAGGGCAGCAAGGCGATCCCGAGCATCCTTGGGTATGAAATCAAATATTGACTTGCCGGGCAGAGGTTTCTCGCCAAGCAAAGCTGAGCGATCCTTTGTATTGAGAGTCGACGCTTTCGCTGCATCTGCAACAGACTGGTATTCCTTTGATTCTGCCGTTGACGTCGCACTCTTAGAAGACTTCCAGCCCGGAGGTATCTTTGGGGGTGGGTATTTTGGCTTGCGTGCAACATCGGTAAAACCCGTTGCGAATACGAATCCCCTGAGCGGAGACTTTCCGTCTATAGAAGGTCGACTTATTAAAGCCAAAGCTTGCGATGGATTCTTTTTGGAAACAAAGACGTGCTTCTCACCAGCCCCTGGTTTGGCAAATTTGCTCGGCTTTTTCCCTTTCTTTTCTTTGCCGATGGTCTTGTTGAAGGTAATCTTAGGGCCCAATTCGTACGGATCCTCGTCATCGGAGCCAGTGTCGTTGAGGACACCCACGCCGAAGGAGGACTTGTTGGCTGCGGGCTTTTTAACAGCGGGCACTTTTTTGGGGCCTGGGAGATAGTGCAGGCTGAACTTTGAAGATGGATCTTCGGCTTGTTCGCCCACGACTCTCAGCTGTGCCTCCGAAATGTAGCCCAAGCCTTTGCGGCGCACCTCCTCTTTTGGCATATTCATGATGCGCGCATCTGGCGGCGCGAATAAATGTACAGAGTCTTGATGAGCACCGGCTGCACCATCTTCCAGGTTTGCATTCCGGCGCACTTTTCGACCGATGCCCTGATCGCGTCGCCAGCCCATTTTCTGGGCAAGCTTGACACCCATAGTCTCTTCCTGGGTCATGAACAGGCCGAACAATCCATCATCGTTGTGTTGTCCCGATTCGCCGATACCAGCGAACGTGTTCGCCGTCTCCAACTGGCGCGATTCGGCTGCAGCTGCGAGATCCTCCTCGTCCATGAAATCCTCGGGGCGTTGTGCTTGAACAGCGGACTGGTCTTTGTGGCGATTGGCGCGGGAAGACACAAATGTCTTTGGAGTCCATCCTTCTTTAGAGCCAACTGTGTTAAAGTATCTTAGCATAGTCAAGAAGTCTTGCGCTCGCAGAAGAACAGGCTCAAAAACTTACCCTGCACTGAAGCCTCCGGTGAAAGCACCGTGTAGCCTGCGTCTGCCGCGCTCGTCGGTCACGGTTTGTTTCCATACTGGTACGAAAGCGCCATCGTCTGCTTCTTCTTCTGGTAGCTCTGTGCCCAGAAAGACGTACTTGGAAGGCCCTCTGCGAGAGCGCTTCTGGGTATCTGACGGGGAAGGAGCACGCGTGCGTTTGTATGCCATTACGAAGGCTGGGCGCAAGACGCGCAATGCGTTGGGCGGAGTGGGAGAGAGTTGTGTAGGATGTGGTGGTACTATGGCATCATGTGATTCTCATTGGCCGGCTGGTTGGTGTTGGGGCGAGGAGGAAAGTTACAGAGGTGAGCATGAGTAAGCAGTGCAGGGGTGACTAATCAGGCCGTGTGTGATTGGCTCGAACTCGGCTTGTCATTTACTACGAGGGGCAGTCACAATCTCTGCGGCTTCTCAGACGCACAGGCACGCGGAAGGGCGAGCAGCGACAGCAACAACGCACTCTGTTCGCCTTTGGTCGGGGATGAGCTTGTTGCTGGATGATAGCAGAGGGCCTATACATGGCGCCCAAATTGGATGCCGTTGACAAAGGGAGCTAGAGAGCGACAAGTGGGCCCGATGATGTAGTCCTGTGCCTGGCTCGTCCGGCCTAGCAGCCAAAGGGACAGGTGTGTATCAAGGCCAAGGCCCGGGACCCTTGATGCCGCAGTGGTAGGAGAGCAGGTAGGGGCGTAGATGCATTGGACATTGTTTTTTGTAGGCCGGGGCAGGGTTGCTTTTGTTTATATTGCACCATGCAAGCAGATGGACATAGGGTCCTGGGAGACGTGCGCAGGTATGTGGTGGGAGTAGGATGTGTGTACGTAGGCGGTGGATGCGGTGCCTTTGAAAGGAGCAGTGTGTACCCCACTGGCATGCAGCCCAAAGGAGCAGCGGGCCTGGGCGTCGACACAGGCAGCCGGCCGGCATGATAGCTACTACAAGACCTCCACCAACACCACCAGACCCCATGCGATAGGCCGCAACAAAGACTCGCATCGGCCGTCTCGTCGCCCCCAACTGCCTCGCATACTCTTCATGCCCACAGTGTATCTACACATGTGTGTACACCAACCAGCCCATCCGCCCATCCACCAGTCCACGCAAAAAGAGCGCCGTCGGCAGCGACACCAGAGGGCGTGGTAGCATTGGCCCCTAGCCTCTTTGCCCTGGCACCGGCTCTGGCTCTGGCTCTGGCACCCACCCGCCGCCGCCGCCATACATACTTACCGTCTCCACTGCGACCCAGCTCGCACAGTCGCAGCAATCTCGTCAAGCTGTCTGCATAGGCCCGACGTGGTCGAGTTGAGCGCTCGCCCTACGCCCAGTGCGCCAGGTCCTCGCAGGCCCACGTCTGCTCCCTGCATTGTGTGTACCGCCGGCACCAGCACATCTTCGCCATGTCGTCGGCCGCTGCCCCAGCTTCGCCTGCTGTCGTGCGCACCTCTTCCACCTCGCGCAGGTCTGGAGACCGTCCCAATCGCTCAAACTCCTCCCAGGTCCGCCCCAGCTCCCACGCGCCTGCGCCCACGCCCGCTCGTCATCACCAGCCCGCCCTGAACAACGTCACCCGCCGCGACCACGAACAGTCCAACCTCGCCCAGGACCACCACCCGCCCTCCCGCCGCTCCGAGGACCCCTCGCGCCCCGACTCGAGCAGACGAAGCCATTCGCGGTATGCGTCTGACGCGTCGACGGCTTCTGCAATGCCCATCAACGGCGTAGCTGTCGATGCCCGAACGGTGCAACAACAGCCCGTCAACAAGCGCAGGACCACCATCACCGCCCCGGCCACCGGAACATGGGCGCTAGGCAAGACAATCGGTGCCGGCAGCATGGGCAAGGTCAAGCTCGCCAAGAACGTCGAAACTGGAGAACAGGTGCGTCCCTTTGCACGCCGCCCACATGGTCCCACGCCCATTGGCCTGGCCCATGGGCATGTTGCGTCTGTTAACCATGCACCCACCTCTGCTAACAACCCCCTCTTCTAGGCCGCCGTCAAGATTGTGCCTCGCCAGTCGCAAGATCAGCATCAGAGCGCTGCTGATCGTGAGCGAGCCGACCACTCCAAAGAAGTCCGCACCGCCAGAGAGGCCGCCATTGTCAGCCTCCTCAGCCACCCTTATATCTGCGGCATGAAAGATGTCGTCCGGACAAACTTCCATTGGTACATGATGTTTGAGTTTGTCAATGGCGGTCAGATGCTCGATTACATCATCTCTCACGGCCGTCTCAAGGAAAAGCAGGCTCGCAAGTTTGCCCGCCAGATTGCCAGTGCCCTTGACTACTGCCACCGAAACAGCATCGTCCACCGCGATCTCAAGATTGAAAACATTCTTATCAGTAAAATGGGCGATATCAAGATTATCGATTTCGGTCTCAGCAATCTCTTCTCTCCCCGGAACCAGCTCAAAACCTTTTGTGGGAGTTTATACTTTGCCGCCCCCGAACTCCTCCAGGCTAAGCAGTACACCGGCCCCGAAGTCGATGTCTGGAGTTTTGGTATTGTTCTCTACGTCCTCGTCTGCGGAAAGGTGCCCTTTGACGACCAGAGCATGCCCCAGCTGCACGCAAAAATCAAAAAGGGGCATGTCGACTATCCACCATGGCTTTCTACTGGTATGCTTTGGTCACCAATCGATATTTCGATCTACACTAACATTGCATAGAATGTCGCAATCTAATACACCGGATGTTGCAGACGGATCCCGCCCAGCGACTGACACTTTCAGAGATCATGGTCCATCCCTGGCTGACAAAGGGCTTTAACAGCCCCCCAGAAAACTACCTGCCCCATCGAGAACCCATTCAACTGCCCCTGGACCCTGAAGTTGTTGAGAAGATGCAGGGGTTCGACTTCGGCACAACTGAATACATCACCGCGCAATTGACCAATGTGATCCAGTCGGAAGAGTATCAACGTGCTGTGCGACTGGCAGCACGCAAGGCTACCGCACAGACGCCAGACACGGAAAAAAAGAGGGGAATGTTTGACTTTTACAAGAGGCGGAATTCAATTGGGAGCAGAGAGCAGTTGACGGCCTCTTCCTCTGAAGATATCCAAAGAGGATTGGATCCCGTGAATGCATACAGCCCTCTGCTGTCGGTTTACTTCCTCGTCAAAGAAAAGAGAGATCGTGAGCGGCTCGAGACCGCCGACCCAGGCCCGGTGGCTATCCCTCAGGCTCCAGAAGAGAAGCCACTCAAAATGCCGGACCTCCCAGCACCACCAGCTGCGTATACCAATTCAGCAACTTACGAAATGGCGGGCGAGAAGCCTACAGGCGGGCGATCGCGACCTAGAGCAAGGACACATGGTGAGGACGATATTACCGACAGTCTGAAGAGAGTGGATCTAAACAGTCTGCCACCGGTTCTTCCCCCACAAGTTGAGCAGCAAAAGAAGGAGGGAGCCGCCGCTGGCCTTTTGCGTCGCTTCAGTACTAGAAAGTATCGCAGCCATGACAAGGAAAAGGTGGAACCGTTGCCACCACCACCCACGCCAGCTGTTGCAATTTCAGGTCCCCCTGAGGTAGTTTCTGCGCCCCCAACTTCAGTTCCAAGGAAGAGCTTTAGTATTCGACGGACACGCGATCGTGATGCAGGATCAGCCTCACATCTTCCCGCCAACGCCAATAACCAGCCTGAATTGCTCTCACCTCCTGGAACTAGCAACACTGCCGCCCGCAAACTGAAAGCACTTGGCCGCTCCACCAGTGTTAACTCGGCAGATCTGCGCAGACGACTCAGTCGACGGGGACGATCTTCAGAAGATCCCGGAAATCCTCCACCCACAAGCGGATCAGACAGATCCGAGATGAGTGCGAACAAGACTCGAGCAGCCAACGATGCTGCCTCGGACGACCTTTCTTCAAGCTCACGACATAGTCAGACCTCGCGGGCGAAGTCTCTGGGTCATGCGCGAAGAGAGAGCATACAGGCCCGACGCGCTAAGAGAGAGCAGGCAAAGGAAGCGAATGTGCCCGAGGAGACGGATGCAGAACTTGCAGAAGCGCAAGCAGAAGCCAGTCGGAGTCCAGATGCCGTCAAGCCCGTTTTTCTCAAGGGCTTGTTCAGCGTCTCTACTACCAGCACAAAGCCGCTCACCGTCATTCAAGATGACTTGATCAGGGTTTTAGACCAGCTGGGCGTAGAATGGACTGAAATCAAGGGTGGATTCAGATGTCGACACTCACCTAGTATCGACATGAATAGGGCGATGGATTCGCCTGCATCGCCACCCGTCGGAGGACATAAGAGGAGAATCAGCTTTGGGGGCTTCATTGGTGGTGACAAAGAGCGTGACGAACTACGGGACCAGACCCGCAATCCCAACACACCAAAATCACGCTCACGACCATCTCCCGCAGACCGCAGCTATACGAATACTGATGAGTCTGATGGCAGTGAAGACCGTGACGAGCGACGACCACGACGTGCAGTACCTGCTGGCGAAACGTCGACGCATGTACAAAGCGACATGGGCTCCAACATGAACCTCGTGTTTGAGATATTGATCGTCAAAGTCCCTCTGTTGACATTGCATGGTATTCAATTCAAGAAGGTGGATGGAGGAACTTGGCAGTACAAGAACATGGCTCAAACTATTCTTTCAGAGCTTAGGCTATGATGATTCTTTGTTGTAAAGGGAGTAGGAGAGTTTTTGACGTTTTTTTTTCACTTCGGATATTGGCAGGCAGACGTCAATTTTTGGAACTTCAACTATGCACTATAATTCTTTTTCTCTTTTTCGATTGGTTCAGAAGGTTTTGGGAGCAGATTTTTCTTATGAGTAGAACCACCGCCCACGAATTTCATTTGTCATTTGCCCTGTAATGGTTGGAGCGGTCGGAGCAGATGGGAATCTTAGAAGTCTGATATCAATGAATTGTGAATCGAGCTCTCTCTCCCCTTTACAGGGTCGTGACCTGGCTGGACCCTTGCGGTGACTCGTGCTCCTCTCACTGCTGCCTCAGCGCCTTCACTGTATTACTTTGATTGGCGCACTTACAAACGTTATACTGTTGCCCAAGCTGTACCTGACGCGGATGCGCTGTCGATCTCCGTCGAAAGCACAAGCTCCCGCAGGCGCCAAGGCGCTCGCGCCAGTGGGGTGCTTCGCGGCCTCATCTCTCGAGTGCAGCCAGAACAGACTCACCACGCCCCAGTCTCCATCGCCTACCCTTCGACCCACCAGCCTATTCTTTGATCGCTTGTCGCTTTCTATTTAGACCCGCGTAAACGACTTCATCTCACCAATACCCCGCAATACCCGCGAAACCGCTACGACCCGCAGCCAATGCAACATTTCCTCGCGCATCAGCAACAGTATGGCGAGTGGGGTCAGGGCCACCACCAGCAGCCGCAACATCACGTAGCCCAACATGGACAGCATCAAGCGCAGGCCGCCCAGTTGCATGCCCAGCAGCAGGCTCAGGCGGTTCAAGCAGCTGCGCAGCGCCAGTACCACCAGCAGCTTGCGGCCAACAATGGCTCCACGCTGCCCGGAAACAACGCCGTTCCCCGAGGACCTGCCAACGACGTCCAGGCAGCCGATGTCGGCATGACTGATGAGAATAGGCGCGTGTTGGAATGGGTAACCCAGCTTATGAAGCCTGCTACTAGGGAGGCCGCGCTTCTGGAGTTGAGCAAGAAGCGGGAGCAGGTCCCCGAGCTGGCTCTGATTCTCTGGCATTCTTTCGGTATAGCTGCCAGATGTTCAACACTTCAAATGCAGTGCTAATCACTTTCCATTAGGTGTTATGGCTTCTCTCCTCCAAGAGATCATCTCCGTTTACCCGCTGCTTAACCCTTCGCAATTGACCGCCGCAGCATCTAACCGTGTCTGCAATGCTCTCGCGCTTCTTCAATGCGTGGCTTCTCATACTGAAACCCGTGGCCTGTTTTTGAGTGGTATGTTACACGTCCCGTATTGTATTAAACTGGCTAACGACTAACAGCGCACATTCCGCTCTTCCTGTATCCGTTTCTCAACACGACGTCCAAATCACGACCCTTCGAATACCTACGTCTTACGTCTCTCGGTGTAATTGGCGCTCTGGTCAAGAACGACTCTTCTGAAGTCATCAATTTCCTTCTCACTACTGAGATTATCCCACTTTGTCTCCGTATCATGGAGACGGGCTCGGAACTCAGCAAGACTGTGGCGATTTTCATTGTCCAGAAGATCTTGCTGGACGACATTGGACTTGCATATATCTGCCAAACCTACGAGCGTTTCTATGCCGTAGGCACCGTCTTGAGCAATATGGTCAATCAGCTCGTTGAGCAACAGACGGTTCGCTTACTGAAGCACGTTGTGCGTTGCTTTCTCCGGTAAGTTGCTTTGTCGTGCACCTCCCCGTCCTCCATCTAACCCTAGACAGCTTGAGCGATAATGCTCGCGCTCGCGAGGCGCTGCGCCAGTCCTTACCCGAGCCGCTCCGAGATGCTACTTTCTCCTCTGTTCTGCGGGACGACGCTGCCACCAAGCGCTGCCTTGCTCAACTCTTGATCAATCTCTCCGACAATGTTGTCGACGCGGCAAATAACCAACAGCTCATGCACTGAGATGGCGAATGATGCGCTGGCTCTTTGACAAGTTCTGACAATTGGCCTGGGTATGTCCAGTGGTCCTGAACAACCCTTTCTCGCCTTCTGTATATCTACGGCTTCGGCTTTTACTCCATTTGGCACGGTGGCCTGTGTGCGCAACATACCCCTTGGTTTGATCTGGTTTGACTTATGGAAACGGTGTGAATTCGGCGTTAGGGTTTCTCATATGGGATACCCGTAGCAGCAGTCTTTTGTGGCATGTGCTACTTCTTGCATTATTATTTTTCTTCTTTGACTCTGATGGTCATGGCGAGGAGTTTGGGGCATTGCATGGCGTAGTGCACATCCATGCATGGCAAAAAGCGACTGTATATTACTATAGTTATTCTGCCTACGGGCGTGCGAGAAATGTGGAAGTATGGGACGACCTTGTGCATTGGATTTTCGTCTTGTGAAGTGGTTGACAGGAACTGTACAACATACAGGCAGGAGATGGACATATGAATTGATGAATCTGTCTTCCCAAAAGGGATACATGGCCTGACAAATTGTGACTCATATATCAATCTATTCTGTTGGGTCTACATTACTCGCAACCTCATTTACCGTTGTTGCATTCAGATACTGCTGCCTAGTTTCACTAAAGCGGTTTAGCGTGGTATTCGCTAGCGCGCCTCCTCGCCCACATTGAAATCCACTGCTACTCGCCTCTCTTCTTCCCAATACCAACAACCTTGACAGAGCCACCAAAGGAACCGATATCCTCTGGGAGACACATCAGCCAACATGTCGAAAATCTCTGTCGCCGGCGTTCGTACGAACGTTCAACAGCTCCTCGAGTACTCCAACGAGACCAAGAAGAGGAACTTCCTCGAGACCGTCGAACTCCAGATCGGCCTTAAGAACTACGACCCCCAGCGTGACAAGCGTTTCTCGGGAACCATCAAGCTCCCCACGCTTCCCCGTCCTCGTAAGTCGATGGCAGAGAGTATTGGAGTTGGGCATGAGCTAATGGAGGTGAACAGGCATGAGCATTTGCGTTCTCGGTGACCAGCACGATATCGATCGTGCCAAGCACCATGGTGTTGATGCCATGAGCACTGATGTGAGTACTACGGCACAATATCTATCAGAATGTTTCTGACAAAGTGATACAGGACTTGAAGAAGCTCAACAAGAACAAGAAGCTCATCAAGAAGCTCGCCAAGAAGTACGATGCCTTCATGGCCTCCGATGCTCTCATCAAGCAGATTCCCCGTCTCCTCGGACCCGGTCTCTCCAAGGCCGGAAAGTTCCCTACTCCCGTCTCCCACAACGAGGACCTCGCCAACAAGATGAACGAAGTCAAGTCCACCATCAAGTTCCAGTTGAAGAAGGTTCTCTGCATGGGTGTCGCTATTGGCAACGTTGGCATGACTGAGGATGAGCTGATTGGCAACATCATGTTGGCCATCAACTACCTCGTCTCTCTGCTTAAGAAGGGATGGCAGAACGTGGGCTCCTTGACCATCAAGGCCACCATGAGCCCTCCCAAGCGTCTCTACTAGAGTGTTTGTCGTTGCGTCTGCTGGGTTTTTCCGTGGCCATCTGTCGAAAGATGGGTGGCCATGTTTTACCATCTGACGGAATCTCGATGGATATTATTGGATGGGTCTAGCTAGCTTGAATGCATGCATGAACCCGCCACTCTTGATTGTCTTTGTGTCTGCATCGTGATGAGTCTGTGTTGTTGTCGCATGATGTGATATGCTATATGTATTTGATGCTGAGATTGTGCTACGACCTTGACAACCAGCCATCTGTGTTGCCTGACCCACTTGTAGCCCACACCGCACAGGCGTCCTTTGGTAAATTTTTCTCAATGTCCTCACAATTTTTCGCCCACTTTCCCGGCCTCAAATGATGACTAATCTAGCGCTCATCCACGCACGGACCCGCCCCGCCTTCCCGCCTCCCTCGGTCTATAAAGCACAGCCGGCCTCCATCCCTCTTCCTTTTTCCTCATCATCAGTTGGTAATCTACATACCTAAAACAATCGTGGCTCCGCGAAAGCGGCTTGCTGAGAGTTATCCTACCTTTTCCTCTGTGGATAGTTCTCCGTTCCCGGCCCCGTAGAGAGATATCCGCCCGTCTTTCCTTACCAATTGCAATTATCCGTGAAAAGATGGATTGGAGTTGTGGGATGGTGTGGGACATTATTCTTTTTTCTTGCTACACATTTATGGAATGTGTGTTTTTGCGCTTGAGATTTGAGAGTGATGCGATGCTATGTTGTCGTGTGCGAAATGTTGCTTGTGAGCATTCGTGCGGATGAAGCTCTGCAAAAATTTTGTGGGAACATCATCGTCGAATTCAGACGGCATCAACGTCGAGCATCAGAGAGCATCGGTTCAGTGTCAAGTATGAGAGCCTAGAGCATTTTTTGCAATCGTTGACAAGCTCTTTTGGTTGCGATGCGGAGTTCTCGTTGCTGCGTGCTCATCTCATGCCGACTGTTTGATAGCGACAACTACAGCAGGAGAAACCAGACGCCATTCATATGCCTACTATACAAAGTGGAGATTACACGCTATGCAACAAAACTATGCTGTCTAATCCAAGCTCTACAATGCTCCCTCAGCGTCGTCGTGCCGCCCTCCACTTGTCAAATGCATCATCTGCCGATTCGCTGCTGATTCCACATCGCTCGCCCAGCACACTCCATGTACGCATGCGTACAATCTTCTCCACCGCACGCTCGTTGCGCATGAGCGTAGCCAGACTCTCTGTCCTCGCTTCTGCAGGAAAGTAGCGCCCAGAATATGGATCTAACCGCTCATCTACCGTGCGCTCTCTCGCTTTGGCATCTTCAATCTGCCGTAGAAGACTGTCCGGGTCGTCTGGATCCGGCGATGTCGCAACGCCGGCGCAATAGTCTAGTACATCTGATCGCACTGCCCAGCTGGGGAACAGCACTTTTTCCTTGAACCCTTCACATTGCTCTGGATCCAGGGCCCTGGGATGGCCCGGCGGTGATAGCTGTCGTGTGCTTGTCGAGTTGGGATCGAAGCCTCGTTGCGCCGGGGTGAGGAGAGCGTTGAGGTTCTGTGTTATCGAGTCGTCGATGCTGCTGCGGGATATGCGGAGGAAGTCTGTTGTTCAGCCGGCTTGCGTATTAGTTAGTGGGCTGGGGGGAGAATTTGGCAAAGAGACCGAGGGGGTGCGCTCACCTCGGAGTGCAGTTTGGTTGAAGCAGAATTGTGGCGTGAGTTGAGGTTGCGCAGAGGGTTTAGACATGGCGGGCGGCGGTGGAGGATCCCGGTGTTTCCAGAAGTAGGACGCCAGTTTTGAGGATGTTTTCGTTTTTCTTGTTACATGTACAGTGGTGTGACTTTGGGATTTTGCAATGGCAAAGTCATGACGCTTCAACGATGCCGCCTAATCCATGTCGGATGAATGATGTCAGCAGGGGTCGTTGGGGTTGGGGGCCGGGGCCGCTTGACTTTCGCGTTTGCGGCGAGCCAGGCGCGACGCGCCTTGTAGAGTGCCTGCCTGCCTGCCTAGGCAACTATACCCTACCTACCAACAGAGCATGCCCCTCCGCTTCAATGCTTCTCGTTTCTGTTTAAAATCGCGCCTTCCCTTGACTTTACAACCCTCGCCTCGATCTTTGCATTCATCTCCCCGCTTATTACGTCGAAATTGCCTACCGTTGCATTGGAGTGCGGATCACAGTGGTGCTCTCACAGCCATGGCTCCTAAGCAAGCTACACTTGGGTATGTAAAGTCTTCTCAGACTACTCTGGGGTGCGACGATACCCTTAGACAGTCTTTTGGTGGCAATGCAGTGCTGATTGTTTTTCAATAGAAAGTTCTTTGGAAAACCCAACGGCGATGCAAAGCAGCAATCGAAACTAGCCTTTTCTACGAAACCGAAGTCAAGCAAGAAGGATTCAACACCGCAGGAAGAGCCACAATCCTCGCCAAAGGACCTGAAGAAGGAACAAGATGAGGAAGCCGACTCAGATGCAGAGGTCAGAGCGCCGGTGAAGGAGCAAGTAGAATCAGATGGCGAGGCAATGGAAGTCGACAGCGTAAGCTCTGAGACTGGCAAGAAGAGACAAATCAAAGAAGAAGCAGAGGAGGAGTCTGAGGAGGAACCTCCAAGCAAACGTCAACGAAGAAAACCTTCGCCGAAGAAGACGGTCGCACAACCAAAAGCTGAAAAGGCATCGCCCAAGTCAAAGAAATCTGCTGCTAAATCCAAGGCTGCAGAGCCAGAAGATGAGGAAGAGGAAGCATCCACAAAGACCAAGAGCAAGAAGGGCAAGAAGGAGGCTGAAAAGTCTTCTGCACTAGCAAAGGAGGAAACCGAATCGAGCAAGGAGCAAGAAGAGGATGAGGCAGTTAGCTCTGAAGAGGAGCCTGAAGAGGTCAAGGTCAAGGCACGGAAGCAAGTACAGGCAACCCTTGCGTCCAACACCAAGGACCCATATCCCGATTGGAAACCAGGCGAGCCAGTCCCATATGCGGCGTTGTGCACAACTTTTTCGAAGATTGAGATGACGACGAAGCGTCTGGAGATTCTTGCACATTGCTCCTTGTTCTTGAGACAGGTTTTGCGGTTGACTCCATCTGATATGCTGCCGACTGTCATGCTCATGGTCAATAAGCTTGCAGCCGACTATGCAGGTATTGAGCTCGGTATTGGCGAGTCACTAATCATGAAGGCAATTTCTGAGAGTACCGGTCGAAGTTTACAACATATCAAGAGCGACCAAAACGAGATTGGAGATCTGGGCCTTGTTGCAGCCAAGAGTCGATCAAAACAACCCACCATGTTCAAACCCAAAGCATTGACAGTCGAAGGTGTGCGCAAGGGACTGATGGCCATCGCTACTATCGAAGGACAAGGTGCTCAGGGGCGCAAGGTTGATGGAATCAAGAAACTGCTATCAGCGGCAGATGCGCACAACTCTGGCAAGAACATTGATATTGAGAAGGACAAAGGTGGACCCAGTGAAGCCAAGTTCATCGTCCGAACCCTCGAGGGTAAGCTTCGATTAGGCCTTGCTGAGAGGACCGTTGTCGTAGCCGTCGCACAGGCAATGATATTCCATGAGATGTCACTTCAAGGCAAAACACCGTCGACGGAGGACTTGGGCAAAGCCGAAGCTATGCTAAAGACAGTGTACAGCGAGCTGCCAAGTTACGAAGTCATCATCCCAGCAATGATTGAGCACGGCATCATGAACCTGCGCGAGAACTGTCGCCTACAGCCCGGTGTACCTCTGAAGCCTATGCTTGCCAAGCCAACAAAGTCCATCACGGAGGTGCTAGATCGCTTTGAGGGCAAGGACTTTACCTGTGAATACAAGTATGATGGAGAGCGTGCACAGATTCACTTTGTCGCTCACGATGCAAAGATTGAGCTGGCTACTGAAGCACCCAGTGCTGGCAAGAGCGAGCGCGGCGTGTCCAACATTTTCTCGCGCAACTCTGAAGATTTGTCCAAGAAATATCCTGACATTCTCGCCAAGCTGCCGACTTGGGTTAAAGAAGGTACAAAGAGCTTCGTTCTCGACTGCGAGACGGTTGCCTGGGATATGGTAGAGAAGAAGGTGCTTCCTTTTCAACAGCTCATGACGAGGAAGAGGAAGGATGTCAAGGTCGAAGACGTCAAGGTCAAGGTTTGCGTTTTTGCCTTTGATATCCTCTATCTCAATGGCGAGGTATGTATCACACCTCTTGCTTAGTGATCAATTGCTGACATAATTAGGCGTTGGTAACAAAGTCATTCCGTGAGCGTCGCGAGCATCTCAAAGAAGCCTTCGTGCCTGTCGAAGGCGAGTTTGCATTTGCCAAGTATGGCAACACCAACGAACTAGAGGAGATCCAAACACTCCTTGAAGACTCAGTAAAGGAAGGCTGCGAAGGTCTCATGGTCAAGATGTTGGACGGCCCAGAGTCTTACTACGAGCCATCCAAGCGCTCGCAGAATTGGCTCAAGGTCAAGAAGGACTACCTTGCCGGCGTGGGTGATTCACTGGATCTTGTAGTGCTGGGAGCCTACTACGGCAAGGGCAAGCGTACCAGTTGGTATGGTGCCTTTTTGCTTGCCTGCTACAATCCTTCGACGGAAAAGTACGAAACAGTCTGCAACATTGGTACTGGTTTCTCTGAAGCCATCCTGGAAACTCTGCACAAGACGCTTTCTGAGATTGTCATCGATCGCCCGAAGCCATTCTACACACATTCGACTGGTAACAAAGACCAGCCTGACGTGTGGTTCGAGCCGCGATATGTGTGGGAGGTCAAGACTGCAGACCTCACCTTGTCGCCGCGGTACAAGGCAGCTGCGGCTGAAGTTGGCGGCGGTGGCAAGGGTGTCAGCTTACGCTTTCCGCGTTTCATCAAGGAGAGGGAGGACAAGAAGCCGGATCAGGCGAGTTCAAGTCGTATGATTGCGGAAATGTACCAAAGGCAGGAAAGCGTGGCCAAGAACAAGGGGCCTAGTGTTGATGATGACTTCGAGTATTGAACAGCATCGGAATGATAGGGATAGGA